TGGATTTTAATCAGAGAAGTATAACTATGTGACTTTTAAAAAAGGTTTCATTGAAATAGAGTGTGGTGGTACCCACCTTTAATCCCAGCTACTCAGGAGGCTGAGGCAACAGGGCTGAAATTTTGAGGGGTAGCCTAGGCAATTTAGCAAGACTATCTCAAAACAAAATAAAAGGGCCTGGGGATGTACACATAACTCCATGGTAGAGCATCCCTGGGTTTAATCTCTAATGCTGCCTTCCTTGAAAAAAGTTTCATTGATACTTATGATGATAATAATTTAATAATTTATAGGGAAACAAGGATGCAGGTAGGGAGACTAGTTATAGTACTGTTCTAGTAGTTCACATGAAAGTTGATGGTCCCTTTGACTAGGGCAGTAGCAGTAGGAAGGGGTAAATAATAGTGAATTTCTGGATCATTTTGCAGATAGGGCCAGCAGAATATAATAGACTGGGTGTATAAGGTAAAGACAGAATCCAAGCTATTTGGCCTGAGCCACTAGAAAGATGTCTTTGCCAATAACAGATGGAAAAGGGCCAGTGAAGCAGGTCTGGCAGAGCCAGGGTCAGAAGGAATAGGTATGGGTTCAATTTTGGACATGCTGGGTTTGAAATGGACATTAGACTCACATGATGTCATGTATCACTTTCCTAAATCAATTAAAAAATCATTTGGGGGTGGGGATTTAGCTCAGTGGCACCATGCCTGCCTTGAAAATGCAAGGTTGTGAGTTCGATCCCCGGTACCAAAAAAAAAAAATCATTTGTTGAATTCTTCGGTTGATCTAGAGTACCTGTTCTTATCAGATTATTTACAGCAATAACACAGTATTATTACAAGGTTTAGAAGAGAGATAAAATGTTCATATTCCTCCTACCCTTAGCAAATATTTCCCCAAACTGCAAATTAAAAGGCAATTTGTTTGTATCACATAAAAAAGAGAAGGGAACCCAGAAATTGTAAGTTTATTATAATTCTTGAGCATTAATTAGAGAGCATAATTTAAAGGAGTTATTTATTTTCTATACATGGAATTCTTCATTTCAAATACATTGTTATTAAAGTATTTCAATAGCATACTAAATCTTTCACTAAAAAGTGAGAAAATTAAGATTTTCCTAATTTTAAAACTCTGCTGATTATTTAAAAAGTGCCAGAAGTTTAGCATGACTACACTTTTGGCATCACAAGATGAGAAAATAATAATTTCCTAAAAGATCAAGAACACCTTCTTTTTGACTGGTGCTGTGAAGAAAGCCTCCAGATCATGTTTTTGCTGATCAAGTAACATGAATTAATACCATGACCTAATCTGGAGGGAAAAATCCCCAGCAGATGTGGAAGAGTGACCAGACTTCCATCTGCATTCACTAGAAGATAGTCTTTTCTCCCCAGGTAGGATTTCCTATCCTTAATCCAAAATAATATTTTTAAGTTAAATAATAATTTGTATATTATCATTTATAGGAAATAATTCAAAGAAACTCATATTTTTTACACTTTTTTCTGTAAAGTTTGGCTGCTTTTTGAATTGGACATATGATTAATTGGAACAAAAAAAAACCAAACTAAAACATGCAGGGGAAAAATAAATGTGAGGCAAGTAGTTTTGAAAAACTTCTTTAACAGAGGATTTAAAGATATAAACTACTTGTAAAAACATAGGGTATAGATATTGTTAGAAATGAGGACTTGACCAAATTTTGAAGTAATCATACAACATATGCACAAAGATTGGGATCTTGGCAAACGGTTAAACCCTTTGTGTGAGTTCTTTTGTGCTGATGCAAGTTACAATACAACACTTTACCCAGCAATAAAACCAATGGGAAAAAGAACTAGTTGTATATGGGAGCACCCTTGAAATCAGCCATGGTGAGGGTACTTACACCATGGGGTGCTGCAAATCAGGGCTTATCTTTCTTTTTACTGGGGAGAGGGGAGCTGGTTACAAGCCTATCACTGAAAACACCTCTCCATAGGGATCAATGAAACCCTTGGTACCTGTGACAGACAGTCATCTATGGCTTTGCCAAGAGGAATTTTTGAGAATTAATGGATATTCTTTCTACAAACAAGACTTCTCTCCCCTATCCTGGTAAGATCTCATGTTTTACTACTTCTCTTGGAATTCAATACTATCATGCCCTCGTTAGAAAGGACTTCTCTACAATATGGTTCCTTTCTCATATCTCTTCACTAAGAGCCAAAAGAGGAGAGGAGATAAAATGCACAAGGGATAGAAAAACATTCTGCTTTCTAGTAAGCAGAGACGGTGCCATTTGATCAACTGTTCGGAGTTACTGGGAGAGAGTCACAGCCCTAGAGAGAGTGGACCTGCTCTTGTTTTGTGAATGAGTGTTGAAGAATGTAACCCCTCTTAACCTCTCTACACCCTGAACATACAAATTGCTTATGCTGATACCACCCTCAATGGTAACTCACTTCACACCTCCATTTTCTTTCTTGTTATCACCAAGATTAACTGGCATGTTTGGGCAATATTCTGCATTTATCTAACCTTTTCCATACTGGCCACACTGACACAAGACAACAGGTTTATGTACCTCACACATCAGATCTTATCAAGAAACTTGGTAGTGACAGTTTGAGACGGACACCCACTATAGCTTACTTGAATGTGTTCTAAAAACAACAGCAGCAAACCACTCATCTCCTCACACTTTTGAATGACCTTGTTCTGTGGTGTCCCCATTTTTAGATGCAGCGAATGTATTACTGACTGTGTGGCCTCAAAGGATACAGAGAGCTGAAGGCATATGACAATGTGCATTTTGATATTACACCATTAAAACTTCTAGAGATTTGCATTTACTTCAATTACTTACTGAGAAAGGAAAAGTGGAGGATTAGCTTTAATGTTCTCCTTGCCAACAGCTTCATCAAAGTGAAAGAAATGTCTTGTCACAAAATGAGAACAAAAATTATCAGAAGTTGCTTTTCTCTTAGATCTCTAGGACCTCCAGTACTGTCACAGACTTACTGTCTCAGGATAACATCCTTAGAGTAGGTGCATAAAAGAAAAATGAGCCTAAATATAAAATTGGAGTGAAATTTAGACAAAATTTTAAAATAGCTTTTGAATGTTACTTATTTTTTGTTTACAATTCATTTGGCCCAAACATGTTCCTGTGACATTTCTAAAGACTTTACTAAGAGCAAATTTCATACAATATCTAATAGATAATTTTGTTCTTATACTTAAAAATGTTGGTATTATTTAGTTGTGTTCACAGAGAATTTTGTTATTATGGTGAAATTCTGGTAAGATTCTAATCTCACCGGAACTTGAGATCTTTCGGCTCCTTGCCATTAAAGCAGAATGAGGAGTATTTCACCAAACTCAGGCTTTACTTTTGTCATTCAAGTATTTTTAAAAAGCTACCTGTATTATTTCTGAAATTTTCCCTGGAAGTCTGTGGAGCCCTCTGTTCTTATGATAATATTAATTGGCAAAGGTGGCCACATTTGAGGATGATGCCTGAGAAATGTATAGGGTATTTCAGCACACACTCAGTTACAACACATTCCATAACCTGTAAAAATTGTGTTTGGAAGCCAAAATTCTGCTTTGTTAATATCTAAAATAAAACTGACAATAAAGCTTTTGTGTTGAAGGAGATAGGGTGCATTTCCAAATGCTGGCTTATTTTGGGGTGGCTTTGAGTCTGATCACCTTGCACTTGAGTTGGTTGATATTTTCCAAGGGCATGTCTATGACGGACCCCATTCTTCTTGAAATTTTGTCTTTCTTTCTGAAGCAAAGAGAGTTGTTAATAATGGGACTCCTCTGTCTTTTTACTGTAGATTCTAGATATACCATAAAGGAAAAATTATGCATTATCTCAAGCATATCAAAATGTGTAAAGAGAATTGAGTACCCATCATGTAGCTTACGAAATAAAACATTACAAACACAGGTGAAGCTGCCTGTGTGTTCCTTCCTCCTCTTCAGAGGTAACCCCTATTTTTATGTGTTATCCTTTTGCTACATGTGTTCATCCATAAACAATTATATGTTACATGTTTTAAATTTTAATGTATGTGGATTTTCCACATTATTTTAAAGATATGCATATGTCTATATCTCTGTTTACTGACTCTTTAAAGTATTCTATAGTATGGATACACAACCAATTATTTATCCATCCTCTGAATGGATACTTCAGTGTATATCTTAATACCTACTCATCTCTTTAAGCAATTTGTGAAAATTTCTTTAGGAAACAGACCTAAGATTAGAATTTTTGGATCACTGGATATGCACATCTTTAACTTCACTAGACATTGCCAATCTCCAAAGTGGCCGAAAATCAGCAGTGAGGCCCATCAATTTGTTTGACAAGTCCTCAGGGTTCAAAGTTCAAGACTCAGTAGTCTGGAAGGAGGGTGGGGGTGGTGGGGTAGCAGGGCAAGAATTCACACTTCTAACATGTCCTCAAGTGCCATTCCTGAGTAGTGTTGCACCTAGGATTACTTTTTGAGAATCACTGCTCTAGAGAAAGCCTAATGGATGGCATTTCCCTCCCTCCTTCTTTTCCTTTCCCTTTCTTTCTCTTTTTACATTATATGTTAGAGATCTGATCTGAAAAGATGTGCTGGTGATGTTTTATTAGGTGACTAATATTAGCTTGTGGAACAATTCTAGCATTCAAATTCTATAAAAAATTGACTAAATATAAATAATGTAACTACCCACTATGAATGATTGTCATCAAAAGTTAAATTCTCAGTGAGTTCAGGTGCCAGCATGGGACCCTGTGTGCCTGCTCTGGCTGTATTAAGGCCAGAGGAATGGGCAGGTAGCCCGGATCCAGGCAGCGGTGTGCAGTGACTCAGCTGACAGTAGGCAGAGCATTAGACCGCCTGGACTACATCTATGGAAGATCTGTGAGGGTCCCTCACAGTTCAAAGCATGAGGCTATTGAGTCTCACTGGTTTGACTAATTTTAGATATTTATATGGAAAATAAAACCATCAATATTTATATTCCTTTATTATATTTTATTTTACATTTTTTATTATATTCCAAAGTTAGTGCCAGGGAAGTTTCCCTCAAATATTTTTTTTCTGCAAGAACTTCCTATAAAAAATCTTGGAAGAGAAGCCTTCACATATTTCACAGAAAAGGGGCACAAACATGCTTGAACAGTCTGCAAATTGTTAACGTGTAAACTAGAAGGAAACTGATTTTATTTCAAATTTAGCAATATAAAAGGTCAGTTAGGAAAAAAGCATGTACCAGTAACCAAAAGCATTTGCTCATATCATTCCACAATTTACAAAACAAGACAACAGGTTCAAAAATACTTATCATACCCGTAAGTGATATTGTTGGAACAATGGCTGTTACAAGGCCATTTATTGCAGGCACATTTCTAGGATGTTCTGTTATCATTACTACCATTTTTATCTCCTTTCTTTTTTCTCTCTCATCAGCTTTTTGCTTTCTTCTCTTCTTCTTTTATTCACTGGATTCCGAGGATCATAGATTTCAAATGTGTCCGAGTCCTGCATGCTTGCATCTTTCACTTTTCTGCTTTTATCTTCAAACTGAAGTACATGTGACATCCTAAAGAGGGAGAGAGATGGTTCAGTGATTTTGGTATGAGAATTGAAGGCAGAAATTCTATACTTCACTTATCACTGGCATAATGAGCCAAAAGGGTACAAGACACCAAAATGGAGTGATTGTTTACTGGTGCTTATACCACATGGAGAGCAACTTCTCAGAAAACACTTAAATTTGAAAAACATGCCTGGAGTTTGTTCTGCTGGTATTTCCAGCAGTGAATCTCATGTCTCAGTCTTCATTTGAAGTTCCTTCCCTGGTGGGAGGTTGAGTTCTACCCAGAAGTATTCCTCCAATCATACAGAGAGAACACTTTCAACTGGCTTCCTTTGAGAAGCATACTTGTTTAACCAGAGCAAGCTAGACTGCAGAGCAAAACACCAGACAATACACCAATTCTATCTAATTTTCTTTTTTTGTTTTGATTTTCAGTATTTTCATGGGTCAAGAGTAAGGAATAAATAAAGAAAATTTAAGTGATGTGCAAATGGTATTATGATTCTCTTTTATGGGGAGTTGCTAAATTAAAAATACTATTTTTTTCACACAAAAGTTAAACTTTTGGCATAACTCCAAGGACTAATTTTTCTCCTCCTACTGTTGATTACAACATATCTAACCATCTTGCTTTCCTACTTTAGCAAATGCTTACTGGTCTTAAGGTATCAACATGTGCTTGAATCCTAAGTGGTCATAGCTGGCTATCCTTAGCAACAGAGAAATATGTAAGTGATTAGGTATTCCCCTAGTAGGAGATGTCAGGAATAAACAGGGAAGTAAAAAACGGACTTCAGGGTAGTCTGAATTTGGAAAGAGAAAACTTCAGTTTTTATACAAAACAAAACAAAATGTGTTAAGGCTTTTCCTACTAGTTACTCCACGACACTAGTGTTGTTATTTAAATAAAAAAACATTTTTAATAGATGTATCCTATATTCACTATAACAGATAGCACTACATAACAGCACATAACATAGCACTACACTGTCTACAGGACTATTATTCTGTATATGCCTATTACAACTTATAGATGAAGCTCAAATATGACATTAACTTTGTTTGCTCTATATAAGCAGAAATTTGGTTAGAGGAACTAGCAGAGACCCCCAATCTTTTTTTCCTTGTAGTAACACAAATGATGAATATTATTTGTGTGGCAAATTCCTGTAGCTATACCTAGGTTTTGAAGAATATTAAAGTTTGGGGGAGGGAAATAAAATGTTATGAAAGTGACACTATCCTTTCTAAGGATTCATTAGCTGCTGTTCATCAGGGCTAACAAGCTGAAGTTATGTGCCCTTCCCACCTTCTTCTCCACTTGAGAAAGCTTACTGGAGTGCAGTAAGTTTGAGTGATACAGGGGTGACCTAGAACCTACTTTAATTTACAAATGGGGTAAATCACATTCACATTTTTATACTTTACAATTATTTTACAATAATATATTATTATATCAAATTTCATAGCTGATCTCACTACATAAAGAAACCATTCACATGTGAAATCTGATTTTTTTTTATATTCCCAATGCTTTAGTAAACACCATTATTTAGGAAATTCATCATATAGTCATTGTGTATTTACATGGAATCCTCAGTGACTGATTTTCTTTTGCTTTCAATTTCCTACAGTGTTTCAGTATTAGCTCCTGAGAGTAAAACAATCTCCCTCTTTCCAAGTCCCAGAAAAGGGTTATCATTCTATAGCTGCATAACAAGTAACAACTAGAACCAATTAGACAATTAAACTGGACATAACCAATTAATGATAATTTAGGGAGGTATACAAGATCAGTGACAACTTGCTTCAGTACACATACCTTGGAAAGCCAACTCAACAGGAATAGTCTCATATGTTTGAATGTTAACCAAGCAGTGGCAGTCTCACTTGGGTGAAGTGCAATCAACCAGCAATAGTCCCTTTTGAACAATGGTTCTTCTGGGGCTCTTGTCAACCTTCAAAGAATTCCTGACCCCAAAAACTATATAAAATTTACAACATACTTTGCTTGGAGAGGATGTGCCTAAGAGCATAGCTACTCATTACTTAAGTAACAAATTTAGCATTTTTTTGTTTCAAACAATGAGAAATGTTCTTTTCTTCAACACTTCTTACAACATAAACTCTGTTCCTCACAACGTACACTCTAGAAATTTTAAGAGTATTACCACTGATGGGAAACAAATTTAGAAGTGTGGCAAATTTGCCCATTAAATGTTCATTATCACATATCAGGGGAGCTTAGAACCCTATATTGTACTTCAGTAAGCTCTTAGCAGCTTTCTAAGTGCTGAGAGGTTGTGTTGATGCTTAAGCCAACACCAAGAAGTAGCTGGAATCACTGGCCCTTTAAAACAATTTTATTCATCTTTGTTCTTATTTTTTCCCCATTCCCCTGCCCTCCCTTCACCCCCAAGATACATCATGTAAAGGTACAAGATCCCAATGATGAATGTAACCATGCTATATACCTAAAATGTACCAATAAACTAAATGGAAAAAACCCTCAATTTTATTCAATATGCCTACATTATTTTAAAAACTCCACTACCCTAGTTAATTTATTGATACCTCTCCACATATACAGCCTTCTGTTTTAAAAATGATCTCATTCTCTGCTCAAAAATACTGACTTTTTTTGTTATACCCATTTCTAGCAGAAATTAATCCATGTTTCAAAAGTAACTTTACCGGACTTTGTTAATTAATAACATAAAAAGGCACCTTCCTGCTTTTTATGGCATGAGAGGATCTTGCAACTATTGGATTTAGTTGGCTCTGGTATAAGAAATGAAATCTAGACATGTGAACAACTGCATAAAGTCTACAAGAAGAAACAGATTTTCTTACAAATTTGAAAAACCAGAAAGCTGTAAATTAAAGGAGCTGTTTCAACTGTTTGTTTCATACACCACTGCACTAAACAAGTCCAACATTTTGATTAATAACAAACGTTAAGCACAGAGGAAAGAAGGGGCTATCAGCTTACAAACTACTTCAGATTTAATATCATAATACTTAGGATGGCTGGTAACTCAGCAATATCATTTAACCTTTGATAGAAATAAAAGCATAATCAAAATGCTTCACCCATTTATCTTTCAACATGCTTCGGTCACTTCATTTTTAAGAGGAAAACAAAACAGTTATTATGATTTTCAGCATAATAAACTCCTGACCTATGTGCTTCCATAAATCATAGGCTACATGAATTGAATGCATGCCCGCACTTCACAGTCTCCTGTGAGGATTGGCGTGCAGACGGAGAACACAGGCTTAACTTGAGTACAGAAGGGTCTGGTAGTTTACAGTCTTGTGTGTCCCAATAACTCAGTACTATCCACTCTGTGACTGGTCATAGAATTGGCCCAGTAAGAGCAGTGAATTCTTTTGGAATTAGTTGCACATTAATCATTTACATATGAAACTTTTAGAACTTGTTCATTTGAGGACAAAAACAAAAAATTAGTTCTGATTAATACAAAATTTAACATAAATTCAAATTCTTTAAGAACATTGACTTTATGTGTTATAAAGATATGGAGACTTACTATTTACATAGAAATTGTGTTATATAGGAATTTTTTGGGGGGGCGATATGGGGCTGTGCAAAATTATAAACAGAAGTAAAATGAACAACTGATTCTTCAATAACCTGACACCCAGTTTTTAAAGTTCTCACACAATTGTGAAATAGATTAAAATATGATAGTAATTTTGTAGCTTGTTTTTTTTTTTTTTTTTTTTTGGTACCAGGGATCAAACTTGGGTCCTTGCGCTTGTGGAGCAGGCGGCGAAACCACTGAGCTAAATCCCTGGCCCTGTAGCTTGTTTTTAATGACAAACCACTCACAATCTTGAAGAAGCTTAAGTGGCCACTGCGTCTGTTATTTGAATGGAATAATCTCAAGTGTATTATCCATTTCTTATATATGATTTGAGTACAAGGCAATGAGATAGACTCAATTATTCACTTGACAAACATCTAAGGGGTTTTTATGTATAATGCCAATGCTAGATACTGATGACACAAAGTCAAGTAAGACTCAGGCCCTACTCTCCAGAAGTGAACCACTAGGGAGAACACACAGATGCCACAACATGTCTATCACATTTTGGAATTGCTTACAAAGAGGAGACAACAATCAGAGTATTCATCGACACAGTGCTTTACCAAAAGCTTTCCCCTGTAGTCTCCACACTAACTGGATGAGACAGGCCGGACAGACATGAGCACTCCCATTTCCTTTCTTTTTGTAGTGTTAGGGATTGAACCTAGGAATTCATGTTTACTTGGCAAATGCTTTACCACTGAGCTCCACCCCAGCCGATCACCTGTCTTTCATTGGGAATCTCCAAGATTCAGAGCAGAGAAATTTGTAGCTGGAAGGTACTTGTTGACCAGGTACTTTCTTGAATGATTTCAGAGGTAACAAACTTTCATCCTGTGAAGATGGATTTAACTTTGGAATAAATCAAAAGTTAGTTCAGTCCTAGGTCTAGTATGAGAGATTAAAGGGATAAGAACCATAACTTGTATAGCTCCCAGGTTAGGCTTTAAAGCAACTCCAAAAAAAGAAGTTCCAAAAATGTCTTGAGCAATGCGGGCACACCTTAGGGAAAAAGTTTACTAAAAAACCCCCACCCCATTAATTTCCACTATAAATTTTTATCACCTTATTGCCTTAAATCATTGCTTTCTGGAGTCTCAGTCCCAGTTTTTCCTTGTTCTTTCTAAAACGAAGATGCCAAGCAAGACTCCATTCAGCTGAAGGTCTAAAAGGGGCAGAACTAAGGGCCATAGCCTGCCGCTTGAGGGTGGGTGTCTGGCAATTTCCTCTCAGTCCTTGAATTTCTAAGGATTGTCTTATGGTTGATGATGGTATCCAATACATATGGTATAAATGCAACAAATTATGCCATGAAAATCCTCCTGGTTTAAATCCTTTGGTGGCTCTCCACTGTCCGTATAAGGAAACCCAATTTCTTCTGTGGCGTCT